AGCGGGAGGCACCCTGGGTCCTCGGCTGAGGCCATCGTGCCGATGCTTCACCCTCCTCTCCTCCTCCACCTGAGGGTCCCGATCTCGCACCTGACCCCGATCAGGAACCCTTGATGATGGGGCAGAGCTGGTTCCTGCCGGAGTACCGCCGGTCGCCCCTCGGCCTCTCCCGGCTGCGAGGGATTGCCTCTGCCTAAGAAACCCCAAATTGATGCGTGGGGTGTTGGACATCGCTTCCTCAAGAGCGTCTTCGTCGTCCAAGGTTTGGAGAATTTGAAAATCCGGCCACAGGTCGCCTCCCGAAGTCCCCACCTCGGCGTCCGAAGGAGCAACGTCCTCTCTGACCCCGACTTCCTCAGCAACTCCCTCTACCTCTCCCTCTGAAGCCCGATCCGGGTCTTCCTCCAAGTTCTGCTCGACCTCTAGCCTCGCCGCCTGATCAAAGAGCTCTGACCACTGCGAAGGCTCGAAAGGTTGAGGGAGCTGTGAGAACTTCTTATACCCGGGGGTATAGTGCAGCAAATTATGGGCAGCTCGGCCAAATCCGTCGGCACCCGTGAAACTCCAAACCGTTGTTAAGTCGCCAAAATTGACCAGCGACCGAGGGGGTGGAGCTGTTTCCCGAGAAGGAATACCTGCACAACAAAAAAGATTGTCATAAACATGAGAAGTCCCAAGAAACAAATAAAAATACCCAAAGGAACCGACGTACTTGTCGTTCTCCATTCCCGAGGGCAAAACAGGTCATTGTACTCGGGACCGACACCCCTCTCCCAACATCCCTTGAAGATCAAGATGTCGTCCTTGTACCCCTTGTCCGAGTCAGGAAGGTGGGTTACAAGGTACATAGAGGGGTCCCTGGCTTTGAGGTAGAAATGTTGGTGGGGCATGACTCTTAGGAGAGAGTAACAGAAAAGGAGGTCGTTGAGCCCAATATTCACCCCGAGGCGCCTATTGAGCTCTAGGACCCCCATAATTATCCGAAAGACGTTGAGGCAGCATTGCCCGGGGAAGAGACGGAAGCGAGACAGGAACTGAAGAAGCAGGGGGGGTAAAGGAAACCTAATGCCACCCTCTATGATGGCCTTGGTATAGAAAGGCATGGCATCCGTGGCCCCGAAGGTAGGAGAGTACAACAAAGGGTTAAAATCCACTACGTCCACGCTCGGAGGGATGCCATACTTCGCCCTAAACCTATTGATCTGTGCCTCGCCCGTCACCTTGTATTTCCCTGACCCCGAGGGACCAGCCGATGGATTCTCGGGAACAGGGCGACGACGAGGCATCTCTAAAAAGAAAGGGGAGGAAAAGGTGCTCTGTTGAAAACCCGAGGAAGTTCCCCGAGGGTTTAAATCGAGACGTACCGACCGGATGACACCACTGTTCAGTCGGAAAACAAGAAGGCTAGGGGACGATAAAGAAGAAGGTTGCGAAACTCACCAGAAGATGTCGAAAACGGAGTTTTTCAGGAAAAACTTTGAAAATAACTCGCACCGGAAGGATCAGGAGTCAACAATGGGTTTTACTGACTGAGGTTTTAAGAGAAGATGCTGTCGACGATGGCTGAGGAAAACAAAAAACTCCGGCGAGCAGATCGGAAAGGGCGTATTCTGGGTCAGAGATCGGAATGGCAAAATGATAGAAACCGGAGAAGAACCCCCTTTATATAGGGGGGGAAACTGTCATCATTGGGCGGGAGAACCAAAAACAGCGCATTTAATGCGCACGACATCCCAAGACGGGGAAAGCTGCTCGAGGCCATAATGAAGGACGGATGGCAGTTGGAAAACCCTTCGTCTCCTTACAACGCGTGTCCTCGGTGTCAGAAGATCGAAGGCTGGGGGGCAGTTGATGGGACTCTTCTGAGAAGCCCTAAGATGATGACACGTGCCCTCGGGATATTTTGGAACAGTGTTGCCCGGATGTAAGCACCATCGGCGAAGAGCGCCCTTTACCCCCGAGGTACCTCTCATAGGATCACACATTCGGTATATTATACAAAAACAAAACACGTGTCCTCGGTCAGACGTGTACCTCGGGGACACACACCCTTGGTCCCCGAGGTGAGCCTTTCCTCGGCGCCGAGGGTCACTCCATCCTGGACGCTTCCTCTAATCCCGGATAAAGCTACTGACATACTGGACATCAGCCTATGCCAGTATGGATTATTCATCATGACCTCCTCTTACACAAGTAATGTCAGAACGTGCTGGAATACAGGCGTAACAGCCAATAAGGGATGGACGCGTGGCAAATAATGTCACATCCGAAGCAGACAAACCGCATGCCGCTGCTGACACGCGACTTGGGAAAGCAAACAATTAATTGCACCCTTCTGTTGACGAGACCGCATTCAATGCGGTAAGGTTCGGATATGAAAGGCAATAAATGCTCCTATTACAGAGCATTTATTGCATCCTTCCTGACAGGAGCATATTGTACCGTCGGCGTCCCGACAGACTCAGCATTGATTGTTCGGGACCCCGAGCAATCAATTAGATAAGACATTCCTCATCAAATGATTACACACGCTACCTGTGCCTGATGATTACCTACTGACCACACTGACAGCAATCATGATCTTCTAAGGTATAAATACCCCTCCCAAAAGACAAAGCGGGTATGCAATCACAAACTCTCTACTACAAAATATCCTTCTCAGTGTTTTCTCCTTCCTCCCTCTCATTCAAAGACTGACTAGACCGTCGGAGGGGATACGCCGGAAAACACTCCGGCGCCCTTCTAACTTGTTCTCTTTTGTCCCAGGAAATACCTTTCGCACGTACAGGATCGTTCCTCCTTTCCCAGGATCGTAAGCTGTTTCGAGCAGTGTGCTTGGCCACTCAATCGGCTCACCCAGAGTTCACCAGGGGAGAGATCTGTTCCCAATATTTTATATATATCGTGCAGGATCAAGCCCGCACATAAACATTAATAATTATATCATTATAAAAAATAATTTCAAAATTTGAAACATAACTTTGATACTATTTGTTGGAACATAACTCTAATACCATTTCTTGGTTTTACATAGCAAAAAATTAACATAAATAATACTTGTCGGAAAATAAGAATTCAAAGATAGGAAAACAATGAAAACATGACAAAAAGATATAACATGATTCGATACAGTATATACATCTTGGTATACCGTACCTACATCGACGGATTAAGAATCTATATCGATGTATTATTCACTGAAATCTAGTCATCTGAAAACTAATTACATAATACTCAACCTTATTTATAGGGATAAAATATTGTAATTTGAACCATACAACTTGATGTTTGTGTTTTCTATTACATGTCTAATATACCTATTTATCGTATATTAAAATTCTTCAAATATAATACTATTACATATAGGATTCTCACATTCATTATCCAACAAACTTTCCTTCGTAACAATTAGAAAATTTGAGTCAAATTCTAACAAAGTTAAAGCATTAACATGGTTGAGCATCAACCTAGATAAATCATGCGGATCAACCAAAGACATTTTATCAGGACAATGACAAAAATCAAAATAATTAACCATGTCACTTGAAATAAACTAAAAATAGAACCAACAGACAAAGTAACATTTAATAATTATGCTTAGTTGCAAACAAAAAGCTACAAATAATTAAACTAATCCAAACCCATTTACAAACCCAACAAAAACCCTAAAATAATCATCATATATATGGCCCACTAAAATAATCAAACACAAACAAAAAGACTAATGCATGATTGCATTTAGCTAAAAAAGTAATTAAACAAATACGCCAAAACAAAATCAAATACATTGCCCTGCCCCCCTCACCCATCCCCCCCCCCCCCCCCCCAAAAAAAAAAAAAAAAGAGAAGCTACAAGCAAAGTGCATGTCTATCGTACTATCATACCATATTACGCTCACACTAAGCTAGTATAGACCCCTCTCAGTAACCAACATCTTCTTTTAACTCTAACGGGATTTGCCAAAAGTAAAAAATAAAAAATTTTAGTGTAACCAAATGATCCACTACTGTATCGATTTCTTTGTCCTAATCTTTCCAAGCGAGCACCAAGAAAACCCCTTGATTTCTACCCCAATTCTCCCTTTTTGTCTCTGGCTACTATCCAACCTCTTTGACTATTTCCAAGACAAAGAAAAAAGCTCTAAAATAGCAAATATTTAGTTATTCAAAAATAAAAATTATGCTCTAATTTAGAATAGTAAAATAGAATTTTGTTACAGTGATGCTCTATATTTATAATATTATGTATAAAAATTATAAAAATTTTATAATATATTCTCTCTCGTCTTGTCCTTTTCTACCTCTCTTGTCCACTCTTTGACATTTCCTTCATTCTTTCTTTTTTCGTCCAACATTTTAACAAATGTACAAAATATGAAAAATAATATTTAAAAAAGAAGTTAAAATATGTAAAATTTGTTAGAGTGTGTACTAAAAAAATAATTAGTTAAAATAAAAAAAAAAAATTATATTTTTGAATAACTAAAATACAATGTTGGAAATGCTCTTCGGTTTGATTTCTTCAAAAAAAAAAAAAAACAAAGTATATCACGCACATTGCACGGCATTTTGACAAGAAGCCAATTGCTCATAAAAATAAATATTGGCCCTTGCTTTTTTGGGCCACTTGAGAAGACAAGATCATTTGCTTTTAAAAAATTGGCACAAAAACAAGCGGATTGGATTAATGCTAGATATAAATACCCATTTAACTGATATTATGCGAAGAGCAATAAAAAAATTGCCAAACCCCCACCCACATTATTACATAAAAAAAAAAAAAAAAACAATGCTACATGGACTTAAAAAGTAGACTTGATAATTTTAACCATTGATTCTAATGTGGGTCCCACCATTTATTGAGATCCACTATTTATTCAATAGTTGAAATTATAAAGTTTAATTTTTAAGTCTACTTTTTAAGCCCACCAAACATTACTCAAAAAAAAATTAATACGATAACAACACAAATTAAAATTACACAGCCGGCACTATAACACAACTGAATTGCCATCTTATCAGAAACCCACGCTTTGGAACAAATAGGTATCAAACTATCAAACCTTTGTGTGGAAGTGTGTCCAAAGAACCTCGAATGACCCGTCTCAATTTCCTTGGTCTTTCGTCTTGTGCCTTCTATGACTTTGAAGATAATCCAATAAGTTGTCCACGTACCCTTCTTGCCTATCTCTGTCGCCAAACAATTCTTTCAACTCCTTGACCTTTTCCCTGTATATTTTCCCTTCTTCCTCCAACATCACTAAACTCAGTGACTCGGCCACCGAGTTCCTGGTAAACGACCCGTCCGTGTAGTTCCTAGGTATTGAATACGCCCCGTTCTTTTCCTCCAGAAGCCTAGCATTCAACCCTTGGTCAGCCAAAAAAGTCAGCAAGATAAGAGCTCTCTCGAACTGTATGGCCTCTACCACTGAACTCCAACCCGAGTGAGTCAGGAACCCACCAACCGAGTCATGACTTAGAATCTTGAGTTGAGGCGCCCAACTGGTGCAGACCCACCCACGACCTTTTGTTCTCTCTTCAAACCCTTCAGGTAATTTGATCAACTCAGTATCTGCTGAGCCACGTTGCTTTCTCAAAACCCAGAAGAATGGTAACCCGGATAGCTCCAACCCAAGGGCTATCTCGGTAAGTTCGGCTTGACTTGGTTTCGCCTCGCTTCCAAACGCTACATAAACCACCGATCCTTTAACCTGCTTGTCAAGCCAATCCTTCATTCCTCTCCATTCATCGTCCTTGTCGCCATCGCTGCCGTCAAACGCCGTGGTGGGCAGCTGACCCACCGGAATAGCCGGTTTGCCGTGAATCTCTTCAACAACCTTTAACCATTCCGGTTCAAAGTCCGAACAGCTCCTCACAGCCAGTACGTCACAACCTTCAATGGTTGCTCCAAAACGATACAAGTCCGAAATGTTGTCTTCGTCTCCGGTGACGCTGTCAAAGATGCGCTTGATCTCGAAAAGCCGAAACGCAACCGTTGACTCAAACGGCACCCATTTCGGCGGGACTGTGAAGTCCTCCGGCGTCGTCCGAGCATCTTCAGTGCCCTTTAGAACCGGTACAGGGCCGATAAAGGCCAAAAAAGCTGCAGTGAAGATGCTGAAGAAAATACTGGAAATATTGAGTTCAACTGCGATAGAACCCAACCAGTAGGGTGCAAAATCATAGAACACACAGTCAGGAGAAGAAGTTTTTAAGAACTGCATCATGGGTTCTTTGAGGCCATCGTAGGCGATCTTGAGGTATTTGACCTTGTCGTAAGGTACGTCAATGGTGGCCTCTGCGTTCTCAGGCAGGTTTTCGATATGGGGTAATGGAAGCTTTACGAAATCTATGAAAGGTGATAAATTTGGAGGCAGTTTTGGAAGACGATCAATGTTTCTAGGAGTGGAAACGAAGGAGATTTTGTGACCCTTTTGGGCTATGAGCTTGGTGAGTTCTAAGTATGGAATCATATGACCGAAGGCAAGCCACGGGAACATAACGATGTGTAGCTTACCATTTTCAGCCATGGATGGATGAGCTATGAACTGCTTGGTCTCCTCAATCTCGGCTGGTAAGTCTTTATGGTCTTTCTTTCTTTAAGGGAAAGATGCACTGAAGGTATATAAAAAAAATTGTTTCGCCAGATGACTTGCTATGCGGGAAAAAATAATATATCTAGCGTCACAGACTATGAGCAACTCCAACGAACTAGTCAAATTATATTTAAAAAATAATGTTATTGAAAGTTAATTTATTAATTTAATTTGTTAACTTAATTTATTATAATTTTTAGATTGATTATGGAGTCTATCAAATATTAAAATTTGATGTGGATTAAATGATTTTATTGAAGCTAAATCATTATTTCAGTAAATTAAATTAGATTTTTAGGTCTCTAAATAATATTATTCATATTTATATATTATATTTAGAAAATCACTTTTACAATTTTACTCCAATTATGCTCTATATTTTAACTAATTACTTCAACTAACTTTCAATAATAAGAATTGTTTTGAATCAGAATCGGAGGAAAATTACAAAATTCAATTGGAGTGGGAGTCTAAAAGACCCTTTTGAAATAACTCGGACTCCGATTTTGACTCCGATTTTTATTAATAATTAATTTATATAAATTATAAATTACATACCATATTATTATTAATCTTAAAATCAACCACTTTTGTTTTTTTGGTCAAACCCAGTAACTTCAAAGGACTAATTACATGATATATTATTGTTAATTTTAAAACCCTATCTTAGTCCCTCATCTGGCTTCTTGCGCCTCTACTCTCCATTGGAGCATACCAGTGGAAGTATCCAACCTCTTCCACTTCGAAGACTTCAGATTCTTCGTCTCTCCCTTTGGGTTTGTCTCTCTTATTGAAGCTTTTGAGGGATTTTAATTTCGAAGCTCTCACAGTTTTACTTGTGATTGAGACCCAATATAGTTATCGGCATGGGGAGGGGAGGAGGGGGTTTCGGTTTTGGGTAGAGAGAGAGATCCATACCTAGGTGAAGGTGAGCTCTGATGAAGATGATGAAGCCACAATGAAAGAAGATCAACCACAAAATTTGGCGCAAAAGGAAACATAGCGAGGGAACCTTGCTAGCCAGAAGTGGCGAGGGAAAATGGGAGGAGGTAAAATAACTAGCGAGATAGAGAGCCCATTGGAGCAAAATTTTTGGGAATGACTCTTTAAAATAGTTAAAAAAATGGCTTCTAGAGAGCTCGTTGGACTTGCTCAAAGGAAATGAGCTTTTATCAAACCCATGTTCGATAGCAACTAGATCTAGAGAGAAGTTATGAGCGTTACGTTCATGCATAACTTTCATACCAAGGTTAGCACGGTTAATAATATCAGTCCAAGTATTAATTACACGGCCTTGACTATCAACTACAGATTGGTTGAAATTAAAACCATTTAGGTTGAAAGTCATAGTGATGATACCTAAAGCAGTGAACCAGATACCCACTACAGGCCAAGGAGCTAGGAAGTATAGAAAAATAATTCATAAAATGGGGGGCTTTGAAGCCATTTTTTAAATCAGACAATTTTAAAATGGAGAATAATATCCGGACCTACTTAATCATTCAAATCTTTAGATATTTAAAATATTATATATAGACCCCCTAAAATTTGTACGTGCGTAATATTTAAAACTTTACCATCAATAATCATTAGTATATCCGTTAATAAATTATACCTAGACCTCTGAAATTTGTAAGTACATAATACTTAGACTCCTCAAATTTAAAATGTTATATTTAGACAAAAAATACTCAAATTAAAGATAAAATATCAAATATTTTATATTTTACAACCAAAATTTATGTTCTATTTTATCATTTATTGAAATAAAATCAAAAATAAAAATTTAATTTTTTATTAAAAAATCATAATTGTTATACAATTATACTATCTATTGAAATAAAACTAAAAAATCAAACAAAAGTTTTAGGCCATTCATAATAGAACATGAATTTTACAATCAAAATTCATGTTATATTATATCATTTATTGAAATAAATTCAAAAATAAAAATTTATTTTTAAAAAAAAAATCATAATTAAAATTCAATTATACTATCTATTGGAATAAAACTAAAAAATCAAACAAATAGTCAAACTGTAATAGATACAATATCTTCTGCCTTTAATTTGGGTAATTTGGTAGTTTAATTTGGTCATTTAAATGACCAAATTAAATTCCAATAGATAATATAATTGTATAGTAATTATAATTTTAAAAAATTAGATTTTTATTTTTAATTTTATTTTGATAAATGTCACAACAGAACATGAATTTTAGTTATAAAATTTAAAATATTTGATATTTTCACCTTTGATTGAAGTATTTTTAGCATAAGTATTAATTTTAAACTTGAGAGATCTAAGTATTACATGCTTACAAATTTTAGTGGGTTTAGGTGTAATTTAGTAATGGACATTGACGATAGAAGTTTAAGGGTTATACGTGTACAAATTTCAGGGGGCTTGCATGTAATATTTTAAATATTAGGTGGTCTGAGTGAATAAATGACAAACATAAATAGATCTTAATGTAATTTTCCCTTTTTAAAAATGTCAGTCTAATTGACATTTTAAATAAAAACTTTAATTAAAATTAAAGGGAGAATTATATTTAGACTTTCTGAGATTTGTCACTTAATTACTCAGACTTTTTGATATTTGACATATTACACACAGATCCTCTGAAGTTTGTACGAGTGTAACACTTAAATCTCTGTCGTCAACATCCGTTAACATATTATTAATTAAATAACACCTTGACCCCCTGAAGTTTATGGACATGTAATTCTTATTCCCCTTAAGTTTAAAATATTATACTTAAACAAAAAATACTCCGATAAAAAATAGAATATCAAATATTTTAAATTTTACAATCAAAATTTATATTCTATTATGATATTTATTAAAATAAAATTAAATTAAAATTAAAAATCTAATTTTTTCTTAAAAAATCATAATTACAATTATATTATCTATTAGAATTTAATTTGGTCGTTTAAACGACCAAATTAAACTATCAAATTACCCAAATTAAAGCTAAAATATATTGTGCCCATTATAGTTTGACCCCCCCTTTTTATTTTTTAGTTTTATTCTAATAAATAGTATAATTGTATAATAATTATGACTTTTTAAGAAAAATTAGTTTTTTATTTTTAATTTTATTTCAATAAATGATATAATAGAACATGAAAATTCATGTTGTATTATGAATAACTTATATCCCTTGTATGATTTTTTAGTTTTAATCCAAAAGAGAGTATAATTGTATATTAATTATGATTTTTTTAAGAAAAAATTAAATTTTTAATTTTAATTTTATTTCAATAAATGATACAATAAAACATGGTCATAAAATTTAAAATTTTTGATATTTATCTTTAATTGTAGTATTTTTGGTTTAAATATAATATTTTAAACTTGAGGGATATAAGTATTATATGCCTACAAATTTCAGGGGGATTTGAGTGTAATTTATTAACAGATATACTAACAGACATAGACGACAGGAGTCTAAGTGTTAGATGCATACAAACCTCAAGGAGTCTGTGTGTAATATTTTAAATGTCAAGGTATTTATGTGTAATATTTCAAATATCAGAGAATCTATGTATAATATTTAAAATATCAGGGAGTCTGAGTGATTAAGTGTCAAACTTAATAAAATCTAAATGTAATTCTCTCAAAATAAAATTGTCAATCTTTACCGGAAGCTAAGGACCAAAAAACAAAAAATCATAACTGCATCTTCAAAATGTCAATTCCACTTATGTTTGTAGTCGCGAAAATCTATACTCTCTCACTGGTGTTCTATGTCATATCACTTGAATCCCATCTATTGAACTCATGACAATGGTGATCATCACCATTAATAAAAATGACAGTTAAATTGATATTTTTAAAATTAGTTAATACACACGTGCGTTGTATGTGAATCATTTTGAATTATAGTTATAAGTTATTTCATAGTACGAAAATTATGAAATAATTTTAATAACAAGTATATATTTGTGAAAAAATTGTATATGGATTAATGTATAGTTGTATTCTCTTGATCTGTTCTTTTTTAAACAAAAAATTGTGAAGACTAACTTATATGTCAATGAACTTAATGTGATCATATTAAAATGTTAGTAAAAAGTTAAATTTTGTGGGATCTAATTTCAAACTAATTTTTGATAAGAAACAAATAATTTTAATTTCTTTCTTTTTTTTAACTTCCTTTTCCTCATCACAAATATGTCGATGTCTTTTAGAAAACACAAATTGTAATTGATTTTAGCTAGAAATAGGTTAGTGAAAGCAGCAACATCAATTCAAGTAAAAATTGAAGAGTGAAAAGAAGGCATGAAAATGGCATGGCTAGAGAATTTTTAGTATCTCCATATTCAGGATACTCAAAGAACGTTTAACTGAGTCAAGTAGAGGTCATGGACTATTATAATCTTATGGCAAGTAGTCGACACGAACAACAATTTTATGGCAACTCATTCAGTAATACAGAAATTTGGCGAGTAATAATTCTGAATGCGTTCCAATACAAGGAAGGTAGTAAAATAGAATTAAGTGGGAGCAGGGATACCATAATTTTCAGATGACTTTGGTTGTCAATATTTTCATAGAACCGAGTAGAATGTGAGAAAAAATGTGACTTTTTAATATGGAGGACATTTGATAGATATAACATTTCCAAAAAATTGTCTTGTTCGCATGTAAGCACAAATATAATTTAATACACAATGGTTATAAAATAATAAGAAAATGAGTGGGGCTATTGTCACCCCACAAATCTCCATTTCCACCTCCATTTAATTTCTCATTATCAAATTATTAAGTTCATTCCTTCTATACCCACCTCATTAATAACTAAGTTCATCTCATTCTGTATACACCTCATTAATAGTTAAACTCACTCATTCTCTGTACATCTCTTTAATGAAAGAAGTCATCGTAAGAAAAAAATAATGAAAAAAGACAATTAGTTTGAATGTATAAATATATTTATAAAACAAGAAAAACTGAAACAAGAAAAAAACAAGCATATCGAAACAAGAAAAAAAAGAACGAAACAACAAAAAAAGAAGAAGAAAGAAACAGACTGAAACAAGAAAAAATAAAAGAACGAGATACGGAAAAATCAGAAAAAAGAAGCAAACCAAAACAAGAAGGAAAAAAAACCAAGCAAGATTAAAAAAATAAGCAAAACTACAAAACGCAAAACTGAACATGAAAAAAAACAAACAAACATCAAGCATAGACACAAAATTAAACAAACAAAAAAAAATAAACATCATAAATGCAAAACCTAAACAAGATAAAAAAGAAAAAATAATTTGAAAGCATACATTATATATATATATATATATATATATAGACATATAAATTCTAAATAAAAAATTATTAAACTTGATATAGATATTAAAACATATTGAAAATAATGAAAATCTATATAACAAACATAAAATCAAACATAGAATTAAATTAAGAAGTAATACTAACCTGTATCTCACTGGAAAAAATTATATTAAAACAGTATTTCTGTTAGTGCATGAGATAAGATAGAGAATAAAACCCTAATTATGACAAAATATAAAACATGTTTACTTATTAAAGGGGGTATATGTAGTATGAGATAGACTTAGTTACTAATGAAGTGGGTATAGAAGAGGTGGATTTAGTAGTTTAATACTGAGAAATTAAATAGGGGTGAAAATTGTCCCACCCTAAGAAAATAAGAAGCCACTGTAGCTGTCTAGCAATCAACGGTAAAATGTACTCCCCCTAATTATAAGGTTGCCTTTAACCTAATGATTAATTCTTTGGGTCTGTCACAATGACAGTGTTAGTAATGTTAATCAAATACAAACATACTTATTTTGGAGAGAGAGATTGGAGAAAAAATATACCTATGTAGCCACATATCGCAAGACATGGCTATATTTTGAGCTAAGTTTATGCACAAAAACAACTTATTTGGTAACTTAAATAATTTCATTTACGAATTCTTTGTGTACATGATGTTTCTTATCATCCACTCATTTTTGTCTACTCCCCTATTAGGGTAGTACATCTATACGTATGGTAATCGATAGTAAAAACTCCATACAATTGATCTTTTGAACACTCTTAAGCCATGATGATGACTAATCCATCAATCTTGGGTAATTAATCTTTACTACTTATATTTACTTAAATTGAACTGCTGTACATAGAAAATGAGACTCCATTTTATTTCGTAAATTTAAAAGTTGTTTTCTTTTATTCATATAACTGTCACACCAAAATCAAACCTGAGCGCCCCTTTGGTTCACCTTCTCATTTGTTTACAACCAGGGCTACTTAGTAGATCATATAGATATCCATGGAAAAGGGATAATTGCTTAAAAGTAAATATATTCAATCAAATATGATCAAAGTAATTAGCAAGTTAGTAAACCAAATGAATGAGAGAAAATATTTGATAAAATGTGCTTCAAATAACAAATAACAATTTTAAACATTGATAAAAAACTCTTGGAGTTTCTTCAAAACTAAATTATCGCATGTCTATTATCCAGCATCAAGTAGGTTTTTTGGTGGACCACGATTTTCAACAGATTTCTTGGCATTCAGAAAACAAGAGTTACAACTTGTTGAAGAGGTCAGACATGCAGAGGGCTTAAGAGATCTTGAATTAGTTTCCACGAATCTTCTCCAATGATATCTTAAGCACCTTCTCCTCGTCTAATGCACTCCCTTCACCATCCATGCTCTCCTGTCCTGCTTGAGGTGTCTCTGTCTTCAAAGTTTTGATGTCGTGGAAGTTGTGCATTGATTGCATTCATGACACAAATTCTTGTAATCCTAGAGGTTTATTTGCCCCTATAAACCTAGTCGTGCTTTCTTTCTTTTGTTAATGAAAGTCCAAAGCACACTCGATCGCAACTTTTTTGTATTATATCCCACGTTCTATAGTAATGTGTGAAATCCTTAATGAACTAATTCTCAATCGTAATTCCAATTAAGTTAGCATTCCCTTCGATAGGTGACATCTGAGTTTTTTCTATTAAGGCATTTATATTTTCCTCTTTCTTCATTTTTTACACGCTTTGAAATAAGACTTAATTTCACATTCATTACAACCTTTATATGTAATGAACTCCTAGTCAGGTGATTCATGTAGAACTCTAATTGCATATTAAAAATTATATTGAATGCATCATTTTTCAGAACCCGTCACTATCTATGCAAAATAATTATTCATTGGTTTTTTTCATAAGATTGTTATAACGATACATGCAACAGGCTAAATCACAAAAGACACAAATTATTCTAAATATAATCGTCTCTCATATTAGTTTCTTTGTTTTTCATTTTGGGCAGTTCATGGAATAAAATATGCACTTGGTGCACATGAGCATCCAACGACTGGGATATTTAAAGTGGAATCAAAGAAGTCAGGGTCAAGAAAAGATGTTCCAAAGTCCACATGCGTTGCAAATTGACTAGGATAAAATTATCTACGTCTATAATCATCTTATATAAAGACCAAATTCTCTTGTAATCAAATTCACAATGTTTGTGATCTCTAAAGCATATATATTAGAAATGTAATACTACAATACATACACTCCTAGAGATTGTCATCACCATAGACATTCGACTTTATCATCTATAATACCATTATCTTTGAAATTTCAAAAACAACCCAGTGGCATTTCAACTTGCCACTAATAATTTAAAATTTAAATTTAAAATATATAGTGACAATAATTTAAATTTAGCCACTAATAATTTAAAATTTTAGTGATAAAATTTTTTATTTGCAGCAAATATGCATTTTTTTCAGCAAGCATTTTTTTTTTCTACCATTGTATGTTAATTTAGTGACAGTAAAACTTGCCACTGATAAAAAGTTCTTAGCAAAGTTTTAGTCCGAAGTAACGACATGGTGTTGTTTCGCTTTACATTTACCCAAACTCACTAGTACTTGTTCCCCCTTCTCCCTCCTTCTCCATCCCTCCCCCGATCTGAAATTTCAATGGTGGCGCCCTCGATTTTTCGAGCATCTGAGGTGTTGTCTCATCATTCTCCGGCCACCATTGTGTTTGTGTTGAAGAACTGCAAGTGAGGGTTTCCATTTAAATCTTAGATTTTTGTCCTCCCATCAATCTCTCACTTCTGTCCCTCGAAATGCTTGATATCATGTTCACGTCTATTAAATTGAGTGTGATTTCATGGTCGAGTGATTACGAGATGAATATATCCTTCTTTATTTTATGGACTCAACAGGCGACTTTGATTTTTTATTTTGGTTATACTTTGTGTTGAATTGGCGGTATTTTATAGTGAATAGATGGAACCTAGAGCTTTCTCACTATATTGTTCAATGAAATTTTCGCAAAAAAGTGTGACATTAATTCTACACAAACTCAATAGCTCTAATTTTGTTGAATACTTGTTTAGATCCTCAGCTATATCCCTCGTGCACGAGATCGATGAAATGTCTCGTCTCTCTCTCTCTCTCTCTTCTCTCTGACAACCTTGCAGTGGTGGTCATTCTATTACCGTAGGTGTCATTTTCTTTTTAATTAATCAAGTATAGACCTAATATGTTTCTTGATTATAACCTATTTTTGATGGAAATTTAAAGTTTTTGTTTAGGATTTTTTTTTGTAGTTTGTTGTTTCTCTGTTTTCAATCATTGCGAAGTTCTATTCATTCAATCAGCCTTTCATGACTATGTGGTTTGACCCAAACAAAGAAAATTTAATTAGTTATGCAAGGATCGTGCGAACACTCAATTGAGGTTGAGCTAATTGGAAACAAAACGAATCGTATACATCTAGTTGTTCTGAATGATTTTTATGACTCCCCTGGCTCTGGACTCTTGAGAATAAACAATTTTTTTCCTGTCGCTTTGTATTTATCCTATGTGATGCCTACTCTTCTGAGGTGTCTGCTTCATTTGTAGACCCAGAGAATGGTTGTTGCACTAATGATGGGGAAAATTAGTTAGTCCCTGAATATGTAATATTATAATCTTAGTTCAAGTAAATAAGGTCTCGGTATCATAAGTTGTGCCATTTTCATGAGACCAGAGATGTATTGTAATTGCGTTGACAGGTTTGTTCACAATCTTGTTCTGCTTATGTACCTATGAAGGGTTTATTCCAAGTATTGGCTATAAGTCTTTTGATACTTGGAAGTCTTCTCACCTGGGCAGCATTTATGCCACCCATTTTAATGGACCTTGAGAAAGATTTCATCTATTAAACATATTGCTCTATCAGTTTCTTTTGATCTCAATCTAATATAATTTCTCTATTTGATATTTTTTAAAAATTTACAGAGTCGAAGACTCAAAGTAGACATTAATTTAGGGAAGGGGAGAACATTCTGATTCACTTATATGATTACACCTGAAATTGCTACTTTGAAACTTGTGCGTCACAGGATTATTGTATTACATTATCTAATTTTGTATTATGTTGATGGTTTATCTAGATGGTCTGGTGCTGATGGTGGTTAACAGGCCGGTGACTCACAAAGGCTTGGAGGTAAGTGAGGTTCTCTTTTTTTTTTTTTATGATAATTTCGAACTTGTCTTGCGATTATTCTTTCAAGATAGCTAATTGTTGCGTTGAGTTGAATACCTTTTATTATTTGAAAGAGAGTGCTTAGTTTATGACATGGGACTACCAGTAATTAGCCATGTGAAAGGCAAATATCTACCGGCCATAGCCACATGAAAGGCAGTTGAGAAGTTTGGAAGGCCATCATTGTCTAAATATTTTAGTGCCTCTCTAGTTTTGAGACCAAAGAAACATCCATTATGGCTAGTCTACTACTTTTGATTTCTATTATAATTTTGACTTGATGCCATGCAAATGGACTAAGAGAACAATTTCCATTGTCCATTTCTTCTTTGCAAGGACTAAGAGGACCATTTCCATTGTCCATTTCCTCTTTGTTGATGGGTATATAAAGAGGGCACTCATGTCATAGTCGATATTCTTGACTAAGAAGGTTTGTTGGCCATTACTTTACATATGTTTTTATTATCAAGAGAATACATTGTGATCACAAATATAGAAGGCATATTTCTTGTCTGGTCCAAGTCATTTGATGATTTCCTTCTTTATTTGATTGGTAAATTGCCTTCTGTTCAGCCTGCAAATACATTATAACCATTCAATTTGTGACCACAATGTTTCTCGTATAGAATTCAAGATCAAACTTCTCACCATGTCAATTAACACCTGAACTAATTATGTTCCACCAAACCATTAGGAAAAAAAACAGAGGAGAAGCAGTAAGACTGTTATTTTCAGCAATGTTTTCAAGGGTGTGTAGCTCCATATTTTATCAATGTCATGGTGGTTAATGAAGATATTCTGCTGGAGGTTGTCTTAATGCAGGTAAATCTTGGAAGACTATTGACTTCTCTTTTATCAGATAGGTTAAGTTGTAATGATTTTTTTTTTCTGTTCTCTATTTTGTTAAGGTGTTGGGTTTTGAGATTGGTACATCAAATATTGCCTTTATATTTGCCGAAAAGCTTCTCATTCAATTGAAGTGAGTTTCTGTGCCAATACTAGGATTTCACTTTTCTTCATTAGAACAATCATTTTGTTAGATATCCCTTCAATTAATATGTAATCCTTATAGGGTCACTTGTTTCAGTTCTTCTATACTTTGTGTGAATTCAGGGGAGTTGCAAGGGTTGGGGAACACTTGAGCTTTGAATCATGCATGGATATTATGGATATTCTCTATGAAAAGGAGGAGATGTTTGTTCTTTATAGTTCTCCCCGTTCTCCAGCTGCATGCACATTGGCAAGTTTTCTGAAATTTTCTACATTTACTATAGTAATCTATTGCATTTCCCCCCCTATTTTTCTTCCTTTTAAAAGAGTTCTAAATCCTTTGTAGGTTGCATTATATGTTACTATAGCTTGAAACTTACTTTTAATTCTTGAATGCAGCAAATGAGCAAAAGAAACAAGGAGAACCAAGTACAACAGGACATGGGCCATATTGTTGGGGTGGAAAGTTTCGCTCGAATAAGTTACGGTAGTGTGAGTTGTTTTTAAATGTCTATTGCACTTGTGTGATTATCTATACACATGTATACATGCATATTTATTTAATTTTTTTTCTATTAATGTTTAATGCATGATAGTGTGATCTCGAGATTGAAGAGAAGCCCAACCATACGGAACTGTGGTTAGCAACCAAGTTTAGTATGAAGAGGAATGCTTGGGCTGGCAGGAGATCAGGAGAAGTCTATGTAAGTTATCCTATCCTTATCCATTTCCTTGAAATATTTTATTTTCCATCATAGACCAATATTGATGAAAGCTCTTTGTACCCAGTTCTTAGTTTGATTATTTGGTAAAAATAACTGTTGTATTTGGGGCTAACTTCAGCATCTCCAGGTTAACTTCAATTATTGTTTTACTTTGTTTTTGTTGTTCGCTAAATTTACGAATGTTCTTTTTAGGATTGAATTGCTTTAGATATAATGGATTGTTACAAAAATTCTTATGTCATCTGTGGTTGATTGTTCATATAGTAGATAAATTCCTATTTGATCTATGGTTGATTATTAATATATTATACTCTTTGTGCTTCCTATTAATGTTGAGTAATTTTTGTTATGTACAAATTAGTGGAAGCTCTGAACACAGTTTTGGAAGGCTCGCCTTCGAAGACTAAAGACAACAAAACCAATAACCTTTTAAACAAAGAATATGTAGTTGTGACTTTAGACTTTATGATGATTGTTATGAAATTCCTTTCTTTAGAGTGGGTATCATTTTGTAGTTG